TGTGTGGGTGTGGTGTGTGGTGTGTGGTCTCACGGTTGTTGAAGTAGCTGAGATGTGTGGTGGGTGTGTGTGTGTGTGTCTCACGGTTGTTGAAGTAGCTGAGATGTGTGTGTGTGTGTGTGTGTGTGTGTGTGTCTCACGGTTGTTGAAGTAGCTGAGATGTGTGTGTGTGTGTGTGTGTGTGTGTGTCTCACGGTTGTTGAAGTAGCTGAGATGTGTGTGTGTGTGTGTGTGTGTGTGTGTCTCACGGTTGTTGAAGTAGCTGAGATGTGTGTGTAGAGCTTTATCCACGTCTAGAAAAGCTTTCTTTAAAACTCTCTCCAGGTCGTCGTCCTCTTCCAGAGCGTCTCTGCAGATTCAAAAAAAAATTTCAAAAAATAAACAACAATAATAAGTAAAATAATTAATAAGTATCAAACTCTTCCCTGAAGGTGTAGCAGTACTTGATAAATAAATACTAATATTACCTGATGTATTTCTCCATGAACGTGTAGCAGTACTTGATAAATAAATACTAATATTACCTGATGTATTTCTCCATGAACGTGTAGCAGTACTTGATAAATAAATACTAATATTACCTGATGTATTTCTCCATGAACGTAGTAGCAGTACTTGATAAATAAATACTAATATTACCTGATGTATTTCTCCATGAACGTTGTAGCAGTACTTGATAAATAAATACTAATATTACCTGATGTATTTCTCCATGAACGTGTAGCAGTACTTGATAAATAAATACTAATATTACCTGATGTATTTCTCCATGAACGTGTAGCAGTACTTGATAAATAAATACTAATATTACCTGATGTATTTCTCCATGAACGTGTAGCAGTACTTGATAAATAAATACTAATATTACCTGATGTATTTCTCCATGAACGTGTAGCAGTAGCAGTACTGAAAATAAATACTAATATTACCTGATGTATTTCTCCATGAACGTGTAGCAGTACTTGATAAATAAATACTAATATTACCTGATGTATTTCTCCATGAACGTGTAGCAGTACTTGATAAATAAATACTAATATTACCTGATGTATTTCTCCATGAAGGTGTAGCAGTACTCGGCGGCGTGCGACCCTCCGTGCCCGTCGAACACGGCATACAGTTGAATGTTTTCGTGGATCCGAGCGACTCGGAGTCGGTCCTCGTTTTGTTTCCTGAGACCCAGAACTGAGGAGGAGCCGACCCGGGAAACACTCACCTGAGAAACACGAACAAACAGATCAGAAAGCATTTGAATTATTATTTCTACATCTGTTCATTATTTTTCATCATTTATCAGTTTCTCTTAAGGGAATTAGAATGTCCTCCACAGTGATTTAGTCAGAGAGGGCCAAAGTACACACATCCTTTCCTCAAGTAGAAGTAGATACTCGTGTTTAAAAATACTCTGGTAAAAGTAGAAGTACTGACTAAACTTCTTTACTCAAGTCAAAGTAAAGAGGCTTTGAAATGTACTTCAGTAGAAAGTACCCATAACTAGCAGCTGTTTTAAAGAGTAGAAAGTACAGGTATTTGTGTTCAACATGTAAGAAGTCAAAGTAAAAAGTCGTCAGAAAAATAAGTAGTGGAGTAAAGCACTGATACCAGAAACATGTACTTAAGTACAGTAACAAAGTATTTGTACTCCACTACTTCCCCCCTCTGGATTTAGTCCATGTTCTCCCGGTACCTGTGGGTTGTGTTTCCCGTATCTGATGCTGGACGGCAGGAAAACCGGTTCTTCTATCCGGTCGTCCCAAATCCCGAACGAGTCCCAGGCGACGGGTCGGACGCTGACGGCGCCGCTAACAAACCGAACTCCAACACCTCTGTTCGAGGCCCCGCCCACCTGCAGGACGACCAATCAAATCAGAGAATAAACTATTAAGGTCAGGCGGAGATCAAATGGGATGCTAAATATGTTGATGAGGTTGTTTACAGATGTATGGTGGTATAGCTCATGGAGTCAAAGGCGTGTCGTGAAGAAGGATAATTAACTGAATGTGGAAATATAAAAGTCAAAAAATAAATACAAAAATAACAAATAAATGTAAATAATGTGATAAATAAATAATTCAAAAGACAAATATAACAAACAAATACAAATAATTATAAGCATTTTAATACATTTTCACATTAATGTTTTCATTTATTTCTGTTAACATTATTTAGATTTTGGAAAATACTATTACAATTATTATTTCTATATACATTTGTTCACAATTCTTTTGAGTATATTTCATTTTAAATAGGAATGTATGTATTATTGTGCATTTCTTGCTTTTAATTGTCTTTTTTCTTTACTTTTCTAAAGGGCTTTATCCATTTGATCTGATCCTACTGTTTATTGAACTCTGAACTCTAAAAAAGTGTTGAATCAAATCCTAATATGTCTCCAAAATCTTATAATCTTTCAAATCTGCCATTGTGTTTGGTTTGTGTTACGTGACGCCTCACCTGTCCGGGCGCTGTGCAGGTGTGATGGGAGGGGCGTCGGGTCAGGAGGGAGCGAGAACACCTGAGCAGGTGGAGGACAACTGGAGACGACATTTCTGAGGAAACACCCGGCCGGCAGCGGCTCTGAAATTAAATATAATATATAAAGTCAGACGATTATCACCTCTTTTCACCCTCTGTCTGAAACCAGAGCCCAGTCTGCTCTGATTGGTTCGCCGGCCGGCTCTGTTGTGATTGGTCAACCGCTCAAAGATGTCCTGCCCCCTTACGCCTATCACGTACAATGAGTTGGAGCGCTAGCCAACAGGAGCGTGAGTGTAACATAGTGATGTCACTGTTTTTCTAGAAGTGCAGGAGATATACAGTAAAAGAGCTTCATAGCGCCTCTTCAATAGAACTAGAAGTTATCAAAGAACTCTACTAAGATAAATCAATATTTAAAATGAAATAAAATATAGAAATATTATAAAAACATCACAATAATAAAACATTGAAAAAACAAATGTTTACAAGAAATAAAATTGAAAAAAAGGAAATTCAATGGAAGAAATTATATTTTGTTGGCTTTGAGAAACACAAACATTAATAAAAATCCTCCGTTAATTGCGTTAAAAGGAAATCAGGAAAAGGTACGCAGGGTAAAGTAATGATTTATCAGGATGTTGTTATAAATAAACTGATGACAGGTGTGGGTTTCCCTTCCTCCAGCTGGTGTAACGTAAGGAACAAAGTTACATTTAACTTTACGCTTCAGCCAGTCCTTGCTTTAATATATCTGTATAATGTTCAGAAATGAGAATAAAATGTGCATTGATTAAGCAAAGGAAGAATGGAAGATCGTTGCACAAACATTTTGATCACAAACCTAAAAAACCTGCTAAATGTTATGTCTTTTTTGGGTCCACTTCCTACAGTGTACCCCATGCCCCCCCCACCCCCTGCTGTGTTCGAGCCTCATATCCATTACACATCAGGTGAAACACACACACGCTGAGCTCTAAAAATACTCAGTCTGCTGACTTCATTTGAGAAGTTTAGCTGGAAAAAGACGCCTGCAATGGAAAAATACTAATCCACATTTAGGGCTTTTATTTTGAAGAACTGAAGGGAGCTAATTAAAGCAAAAATATTCTTTATGAAGGCTAAAAACAAAACAAGCGAACAGATAAGTAATACAATATAAACAGTGGCTGAACGAGCTTCAAAAGTAGAAAAAGCAAAGTGTAAATATGTTAAGTACAAGTAAACAAAAACAAACTTAAAGTACTAAAAGTCAACGTTGTTATAGGACAGAATAGCACTCTTTATTAGCATTTAATCCTAATATTGGATCAAGATCATGTGACATTTCTCTATTCATCGTATGTGCATAGAAGCAGCAAAAGAAAATGATAGAAACATGGCAACAAAGTGACACAAAACACACAAAATGATGGAAATTGTGTACTTTTGACATAAATAAAGTGCAAAGATATATTTCCTCCCAAAATGTAGCACAGAAGACGTTTAAAGTTGCAGAAAATGGAAATAAATGAACTACCTCAATGTGTACTTGATTAAATGTGCTGTTACTTTCCAGTACTGTCACCGTGACTCCATTTCCGCGTGACGCAGTCTTTAGGGCACAAAAAGCTGTGTTGGTAATCAATCCTCCAACAACACCACGTCTCTAACTCTGAGCCAGGAAACAGACGTCAGAGAAGTTAAACATTGTGCAGTCTGTGCATAATGACCTTTAAATGGCACTGCAAAATAAACACATGTGACCTGGTGTTAAAAACACAATGCACATGTGTGTTTGGGTTACCCACTGACCTACATGCCAATAATGTACAAACCACCCACTTTCCTTTTTCTGATATATTTAGAATATAAAGCAGAGTTTAGGCTTTAAAAATGAATTCATGCAGTCCAATATGTTTAAGAACGATCCATCAGATGGAGTACAACCGACTAAATATGTATAATATAATACTATGCAGCACCAAAAATACTGCATGAATGATAATACTTACATATAAAATAAATATTAAAATTGATTAATAATAAATATATAATGCTAATAATAATAATTAATAATATTACTACTAATATTACTAATACTACTAATAATAACAATAACCAAACCTTGTCAAATGAAGTTTTAAAATAAGAATATAAAATAATAAAGATAAAATAAACACATATATTTAAAAAATATTGAGACCCAGAGCAGAAAATAAATATTGGAGATGATCTGAAAGCCAAAAACTAATCATTTAATGGTATATTATAGTATAATATAGTATATTATAGCCAAACATAGCCAAAGGCATTAACCATAGGCTACTATAGTATTTAAACAATGGATATAATAATGAACAACACACAGGAAAGACTACATTTGAAGAATTAATGTAAAAAACATGTTAAATAAAGTCACTATAAACTTTTTAAGTCTTTCTTTAGTTTAAAAACGTTGCCTGTTAAAAACGTTAAAATGGCGGATTTAAAAAAACTCACCTTCTTCTTTCTTTCTTCAGTTGGTGATTTTTTTCCCGCCTTTGCTGTTTCCGTGGCAACAGGTGTTCTCTGGCTCCAGCCCTCACGAGCTCGAGTGGGGCTCGGCTCGAGGGCGTTTTATATGAGCTCACAGCCGTCCAATCAGAATCCGAGCACAGTGCTGACGTCAATGCCGAACACGGTATGCTTGGTTTTGGCGCGAATCCAATAAGAAGCAACTGTTAGTTCTTATAACACACATAAATAGATAACTATAAATAATAATAATTTAAAAATACTAAATCAATTAAATTAATATATTTACTTAAGCTGATATATTCACATAGATCTCGTTTTTATGTGTAGAAATATTTAAAAAACGTTACCTGGTTCAGAATAATGTGCATCGTTTCGGCGCAAATCCAAGAAGAAGAAATTTCTGTTCTCCTCTCTCTTTCTCCTCATTTAATTAAAAATAAATAAATACAACTCTAGAAACTTAAGTCCAGTGATGCTTAGTACCTAAAAACCTTAACTAAAGTTGAATATGTTGATTTATTTATTTAGAAACACTTAAATGTTTAGAAAACGTTTAATAAGGAAACTACATTTCCTCAGTAACATTAGCTTAACAATTACAAATGTATCATTTTAAATAATACAAATATAATAATTACTTACATTTATATAGTGCCTTTCACATACCCAAGGACGCTTGGGTATAATATAAACTCGTTATTTGGTACGCACAATAACTAATAATGGCCTTCAGAGGCTGCCAGGAAGGACAGAAAGTAACTAAGTACATTTACCTTCACTTAAGTACCGAATATCAACTTTTGGTATTTTTATTTTACTTTTAAGTATGAATCATGCTTTTTATTGCATTTATGTAAAAGCTTTAGTTACTGCCATACTGTAAAAGGTAGAACAAATACAAAAATACTGTTTACATACATTTACCTATAACATTCTGAATACTTCCTCCACTGCTGGTTTTAGCCTTCAGGTGGCAGCAACACCTCATAACTCAAAATATGTTCATTGTCTTTATTGATATTTTTAGAAAAAAAAGACTGCATTCTTTAACTAATCCAACTTTAAACCCCTAAACAAATAATACACCTATTGGCAAAGTATAATTTGTGAAGGATTTATTCTACAAACCACAAGTATCCTTTAGTCAAAATGTTTGTAATTAAAATGTAACAAACAAAAGTAACAACTGTAAAAACATTGTTATTAACAAAAATAAAAAAGACAATATTCACATTCAAATAGTAAATACTGAAGTAAAGTGTTATCAATTGAGACAAAAAAGAAAGAAAAATATTACATTTTGCACAAAAAATCTGACCAATCAGAGAGCAGGAAACTCGACTGGGAGTCAGCTTTAGTGACCTTGATGACATCATCGACTCTTCTTCTTCTACTCCTCGACAGGCAGCCGCGCTGACGTGAACAGATCAGCTGATTACATGACAAGGGTATAACTGTTCTACAACAAAGCTTAATAAAGGATGCTAAAAGCTAAAATAGGATATACAGTTACAAAAAATACCAAAAAACAACTAATAACAGTGAGTTTTAAGGAGATTTAGAAAAGGCCACTAAGTTTGTGGCCTATATGTATAAAAAGAGGTGTATTTGGTATAATGTTGAGTCTATATATACAGTTAACGTACTGTAATATGTGTGCTTTAGTACCTTTAACACTGAGCCCAGCGGTCGAGGAATCTCCACCCTCCGGCATTTCACATTTGTAGACCCCCTCGTCAGCTTTGGTCACTGCTTTCAGGGTGAAGTTGCCCTCTTTGTGTAGGAAACGGTCCGCGACCAAAGCTGTTACTGCAGATTCAGAAAAAGTAAAAACAGGCATCTTAACAAATCTGTCCAAAAACCCTGCTGCAAATTAAACAAAATACAGAAACAGGTGTTGTGTTTCCAGGGGACACTAAACAGTGACGCACCATCCATCTAGTGCAACATTTAGTTACTTATTTTATTGAGCCTGGGACTTCAGATTTTCACTGCCTTATTTACACTGTAGCTGTGCATATGACGATTAAGCCTTTACATCTTTGAACTCATAAATAATAAAGCAAATAAACAAGAACCAAGCAGAAACAATACCATTAACCACACCCATGTGACAATACCAGAAACGATCAATTACGATGTGTGTGTTGTTAACAAATAATGTGGATAATAAAACAATAAACAGGTTAACTTAGCATTTTAGCTCCTACACAGAGATTGGATGGCCCTGATGACCCCTCAAACCATTGCTTTCAACTCTATCTTCTTAATGATTAAATATCATAAAACATTACTCGATCAAACGGTTGTTCTTGTAGTAGGAGGTGTGGAAGCTGAAGCTGATTTCCTTGGTTTTCTTATCCCTTTGGAAACAGCGCAGCATCACGTCCTCGCCCTCCATCACAGGAAGTGGAGGACTCTCAAGGACCACCGTCGTCACAGAGGCTGGAAAGAGCGGGAGAACATTTCACCTTAAACCTTTAGTAGAAATGTACAAATGCGTAATTTGAACAAACTGTGTGAATTGTTAGCTCTAAACACACTGCTAAGGTCACAAGTCAACACGAATGGTAACTGCGGAGGAAATTAATAATGTAATTTACATCACAGCATACCAAATGGAGAAAGCAGGGACACAAGAAATGTTCATTAAAACAGGTAACATCCTTCTGAATATTACAGAACAGAAGGAAGCCAGACGTGTACTGAAGGTGTGAAGAAGCCTCTGGGTCACAGCCATAGTGAACCGAGGCAAAAACAACTTTACAAAGGACTGAATGACACTTAGATTATACATTTCCACGATAGGAACCAGTGGCATGATATGGACGTATGCGAGTAAAAGCAGGTACATGGGATTTTAATATGAAGCTGTGGAGGGCTTTAGAGACTAAAAGAAGTCAGAATAAAAAGGTGCGTACCAATGGAGACGTTGAGGCTGTTGCTCCTGTCCCCTGCTGGGTTCTCACACCAGTACAGGATGTATGAATCTAAATGAACAGGAGTGATGGTACTGGAAGAGTCGATGGTCTGAAGACACTTGACCGGGACACTCTGTAACGGTCCCCCGTCCAGTCGTAAACCTTATTGAAAACAGAAGGTGGTGGTTACCTTATAGTATGGCTTTGACTTTTTCCTCGAAATCCAATGTCATTTTGATTTGAAGTGAAATGTCTCCATGATGGATTGTCATGACTTTCGTTAGAGATAATCATGGTTGCCCAGTGGATGGAAACCCAATGACGTTGGTAAGAAACCGTTTTTTAGTCTTGGTGCCAATAGCTAGTCGAGGTTTCCACTTATCCAGAGATACTTCAACATTTATAAAAATCAGCAATACATTAATAAATTCATGATTCCAAGAAGATGAACTAATTCGTTGTGATCCTGACTTTATCGCTTGTGTCCTCATGAGGATCCCTTGTTTGGTTTTGACTATTGGATGGATTGACATTTGTCCCAGGATGTTATTCTCAAAAGGTTGCTCGTCCCTAAACTCTTTTTCTAGCACCAAATATTTCCAAATTCCCATCAGCCTCAGCTCTGGTTCAAATTGAAATATCTCAACAGCTATTGAATGGATTGCCATGACGTCTGGTTCAGATATTCATGGTCGCCAGAGAATGGATCTTAAAGACGTTGGTAAGTATCAGACTTTTCCTCTGGTGCCAAAAGCTAGCCAAGGTTTTCTCTTATTCAGAGACACTTCAACATCTATCAGCAATACATTTACAAATGTATGATTCCAAGAACATGTACTGATTCGTTGTGATCCTCTGACTTTATCTCTTATTTCATCATGAAGTTCCCTTCTTTGGTTTTGACTATTGGATGAATTTGGACAAAACCTGGTTCAGACGATCGCTCCTAGGATTGAATTGTAAAACATTTGGTAGACCCTCAATATTTCATCTTCTAGAACATCCATGAAGTAAAAGTAATCATTCGTCCAAAACTGTGTTGGTACCCTAATACCCGCCTCAGCTGTATTGTAGGGTCCCAAACTCTTGTTAAGACTTGAATATCTCAAGAACTGGGAACTTCTGGATGGATTAACATGAAGGTTTGTAAGAGACATTCATGATTACCAGAGGATAAAATCCTAATGCCCTTGGGCAACCTCAAACTCACCAACCACAGGAAGTTGTAATTCCAAGATGAGGCCACAATGAAAATGAGCTTCAAAGCCCAATGTTCTTCTTGGTTTCTTTAAACCATTACTACGTACAGTTGTCATTTCTTAAAACTTGCTCCTGGTAGCTATTGGTTTAGGTAATGTCATTCCAAAATCATATAACGCTACAAGTAAAAGACCAACCTCATCATCTTCCACTGGGCGTTGTCGTTGGGCAGCTGGCAGCCCAAAGTGAACGCCTCATTGGAGAAGAACTGGCTCCTGTTGTGGCTCATCACTTCCATGGAGGCCTTCGGAGGAACGTCTTTGTTGGGGAGATAAATTAATATCAAATAAATAAATGTAAGAATCTAACCTAATCATAAAAACAATCTGTGTTTTCTGACCTTCAACCCAGAGCATACTGTGCCAGTCGAGGACATAAACTTCAGGTAAGCTGCCATTATCGTCACAGGTGTAAACTCCCTGGTGCTCATGGGTAATGGGGTTCAGCTCATAGGTGATTCCTGCCGACGCTGGCTGGCTCGCCACAATCTGAGAGGAGACCAGGCAGTTTGGTTTTAAATGGCAAAATCGTTGTTTGCACAAAATAAATGCACAGACAGGTCTCATTCCCAGGTTTTAAAATACTGCCGTAGACTGTATAAGATTATAAAGTAACGTGAAGTCAACCAATGGTCTGTGGACTACGATTTTGAAGCTTCGAGTTTGGCATTTTGGCCGATGCCTTCTTGGTTCTTTTGCAAAGTGACACAATAGTCAAGTTCAACCCAATGCAAAACAAATGTGGTTTGAAGGGGGCGGAAGTTGTAAGACAAA